AATTCATAGTGGTTGTCCCTGAAGAATGCCCTCTACTGTTGGGTAGCCATGGGTCTGATCTTAGTGCAACAGCATAATATCCTCCATGTAAGACAGGAGGGAGGAGGCACAGCATGGTCCTTGGTAAATGTTTTGCAGCAGTACAAAGATGTATTTGAGAGATGGGCATTTAGGGGGAAAGCTGAAGTTTGAATAGACCTACAAGTACAACCTGTACACATGCTGAGATGCAGAGTACCACTAGCCCTGATGGAGCCACTCAAAGAGGAACTAAATCACCTAAGAAGAAGGGGCAGCAATAAACCAGTGGAAATTGGCACTGACTGGATCAAGCCTGGTCATGGTAAGAAAACCATCTGGCAACCTGAGGATCTGTATAGATTGAAAACCTCTGAACAGGGCATTGAAAAAAAGCCATTATCTATTGCCTGCTCTTGAGGATGTACTGACTGGTCTGTTGAGGGCAAGTCCTCGTAATTTGTGATGTAAAAAATGGGTTCATCGAGCTAGATGAATCCTCAAGCCATCTGAAAACGTTTGCAATGCCCTTTGGCAGATGCTACTGGGTACAAATGCCTATGGGCATCAGTCCTAGTCCAAGGGTGTTCCAGCAAAAAAAATCAGGTGCCTTTCAGGACTTTCAGGAACCTCCTCTCCCCACCTTCATTGCACCCTACCCCAATTGCAAGGCACGTAGCAAGAAGAAAGCTATCAAGGACCATGATGCTAGGCTGCAACACTTCCCAAAAAGGTACAGAGGGCAGAATATTAAGTTGCACTCTGAAGTTGAAGCTAAGGAGAACTGAGGTCCTCTACACTGGACATCTTCTGATCCCATCAAAACTCTAGCCTGATCCTGAGAGCCATTAAGGAAATGTCTGGACCACAAGATGTGAAAGCAGCCGATTTATAGGCATAGCCAACTACCTTTCCAAATTTTGTGCATGCATGCCGGAGAGTTGCGAACCGTTAAGATGGTTAACATACAAAGAAGCAGCATGGGACTGGGCAGAAGCCCAGGAGCAGGCATTTGGAAGGATAAAAAAACTTGTAAGTGAGGCACCAGTCTTGAAGTATTACAACTCAGCATAGCAACTACAGCTGCAATGGGAGGCCTCAGAATGAGGGTTGGGAGCAGCATTAATGCAAAACCAGTAACCCACAGCATTTTCAAGCCAGGTCCTGGCTGATACAGGAAGACAGTATGCTCAAATAGAAAGGAACTTCTGGATACTCTCTTTGGAATGGAGCGAATCCACCAGCTCACTTTTTTTGGACAGAAAGTGGACCTGCAGTCTGATCACAAGCCACTTGAAGCATTATGAAGAAGCCACTCCTGAGTGCACCAGACTCCAGTGCATGCTATGAGACTTTAGCACTATGATGTGAGCATCAGGTACTATCCAGCGGAATTGCTGCTAGTGGCAGATACTCTGAGCAGGAACTACCTTTCAGAGTACATCACATGTGGCTCCATGGAACAGGAGCTTGAATCAATCCGTGTGCTACAATACATCCCTTTGTTATTGCAGAGCCTGTGCATGAAACGGATCCCACTCTTGGGGCTAGGCACCTAAAATGTAGATATTGCAGCAGCTACCCTGCCCATGTTCTTTACTGATGCTCTAATTCACCTGACCCATATTACTGCACTGGTGAGAGGTAGGAATAGATCTTAGTTTCTTAACTTTTCTACGCTGCTGTAGTTACTAGCTTTGGTTAGATAATCGCTTATCAACCTTTTTGCAAAACTTGAGGTCATAAACCTAGACCAGGGGTTTTCAACCTTTTTTAAGAAGTGTACCCCTTCTGCTGGTGGTGGCTGGATGCAGAAAAGGGGGGACTTGCACACAGCTGCTGCTACCCACCACCCCACTCTGCCACCACTGCTACCCACCGCCTCGTGCAACTACTGCCATGCCCCACTTTCCCACAGTTGGTCACACGTATGGCTCCATGGGCTGCTGACGGGCCTTGCACCCAGCATGGGGTGGTGGGTGGTGGCACTCCGTCCCCACCTGACTGTGCGTAGCCCCTAGGGCCTTTCCAAGTACCCCTAGGGGTACGTGCACCCCTAGTTGACAACCCCTGCCCTACACTATACAGGAGACCCTTGCCATTCACGGGGGATACGTTCTAGAGATCACCGCGAATGGGGAAATCCTCGAATACTGTACCGCGTTCTTGAACGTCCTCTGCGTTCATGAACAGTGTGTGCCCATGGCGGCTGGGGGGGGGCACGCGAGTGCGGTGGCAGGACCCCAGTGGTGGCAAGCGTGGAGCTCCCGCAGATGCTGCCAGCACTGTAACAGTGTCGTCATGCTGCACCACGAATATTCAAAACCGCAAATGCCAAATCTGTGAAAAGCAAGGGTTTCCTGTATAAAATAGATGCTGTTTTTTGTATTGCTTTGTCATGCATCTCTCATTTCCCAGCTTCCAGAATATCCTCAGCTGTTCCTTGTCCCAATGGCAAGTTTTTTTTTTCTCTTCCCCTCAATTTCTATGTTGGTTCTACAGTCCGGTTTCGAGTTCCTCAACCCTAAAAGGCTCCCAGACATATTTCTGATTCTCAGGCCCCCTCTACACATGCAGGTAAAGGCACAATTGGAGCTAAGGTGTGATCCACACAATCATATATTAGATCCAATCATGCCTTTATTGCTAGGGTAGGGGGAGCCCAATCCTAGGCTCTTCCTGCATTGGCAAAAAGCATGCACCCATAGCTGGGTGTCCCCTTTGCTGATGGGTTCTTTCTGCTGTAGGGGCTGTGTGCAAAGAGGGCTCCCAGCCACAGGGGCCATGCACAGCCAGGACCCTGATATTCTGCCTTTGCAGCCAGGACCCAGAGCCCTGTCAGCTGTGGGACACTTGGTCCCAGCTGTGAGTGAGGTGGAGCTGGGACCCAGAGCTCTGTGTGGGCTCGGGGGTTTCACGCATCCCTGAACCATGGGGATAATGGCAGCTGAAATCCCTAGGGCTCAGGGGTTGCACCCCTGTGGCTGAGTCCTGTCAGCTGACGTGCCCCCAGCCACAGTGGAAACTCAGCTACACATGCAAATTTAAAGCCTGATAGCAACCAGCTATAAGGCTTGTATGCGTTTTTGAGGCCTAACTTTATAGCTGGTTGGAGCCTGTTATTGTGAGATAGCTACTTTGCATGGGAAGCTGATCTCGAGGTAATTACAAAGTTAACTGTGCGATACCGGTAATGTGTAGAAGGAGCCTCAGTAGTTTTTTTTTCCCCCCCGTACTAGCCCATATGTATTAGGTCATTTTGTCTTTTTCTCAGCCTCTTACCATAATTCCTTATTGCCATTCTCTGGTATATGCTACTGTAGGTACTTTCCAGGACACTATCAGCCTGGTACCAGAGTGATTCCCAGAACTGGAGAGAAAACAAAATTTTATTTTTTGAGGGGTGATTTTTCTTAAATCAGGATATAAAGAAAAATAATCGTGGGGATATTGTGAATTCTGCTATCCAAATTTTGTTTTGCAAGAACTGAAAGTTTTCCAACGTGCTCCCTGGTTCCCGTGGAAAGCTGGGTGCCTGGAGACTCAGAGATTTTGCAGTTCCATAGAAATTTATTCAATCAGTTTCTCAAAATGTTTAATTTTACTTCACAGGATTCTAGGGAAGACGACTTGCACCATCAATGAGATACTTGTGGTGATTTAAGATTTTAAGTCTTATTTTTTCTCATTTGGGTGGGTATAGAAAGAGGTGAGAGGTATCATCCTTACAGTAGACAGGCCTTTTCAAAGGGAAAGACTTGTGAACATTTTCCAAAGATTTGAGATTTGCTTGGATTCTGCAAGCTTTTTCTTTAGGCATCTGGCTGTCTTTAGCTAGAATGCTTTATCCCTTGCAGATGTTTCATTTGCTGTCCTGTTATTCATATACTTTCCTATTCATGACTATGTAGTATCCCTATGGCAACAAAAGCAATTGCTTGTATAGAAAAAAAGTAATATTTGAAACACGTTTAATATATCTTTTAATGTGACCTTAGCAGTTGGAAATGAAGAGAGCCGGCAACATAGGATCAGTCTGTTTTCTACCGACTACTGCTGGCTCATGGCCAATAATGTGAGAAGCACAGCTCTGAGGAAAATGCCTTCGAACCCATTATATAGGTTTAATAGGATTTTTAAGAATATTTTTTATTGAAATAAGTATTCAAGAATTACCATACAGATAGGTTTTTTTTTGTTTTGTTTTTGAAGACATAGTAAAATGTTTGCTTTTAACAGTGTTCATAAGTGTGTATTTTCAGTGGTGAGATGGTTATGGAAAAAAGAACAAATACCACCAGAACGTAAAATTTTTAATTGTTTACAGAAGTACAAAAATATTTTAACAAAGTAGCACATTTGCAAATAAACTTTTTTGTTAGTTTTTTTTTTTTTTTTTTTTTTTTTTTTTTTTTTTTTTTTTTTTTTTTTT